ATTATTATTATTATTATTATTATTATTGTTATTATTATTATTATTTTGTAATATCGTTTATGATTTTTTTTTCTTTGTTATATAATCGCAGTGAAAATTGAATGAAGGCACTGTGTACATTGTGCATGTGACTGTCACTGTAAAGTACCGCAGGCCTGGCTGCGAGGCAGAGATCCGAAACCGTGACAACATATCCGCCAAGGGTCGGTCCTTGTGGAAGACCGACAAAGACGAATGAAATAACAAGTAAGTGGGATGTTCTGAGCTTTTATTTTAAGAAGGTCCAACTGTTGTTCGTGAGCACACAACTTGCGGGACCAGAACGAGCAATCGTAGTTATTTTCGTGCTCTTACCAGCTTTGTTTGTTCAACGTTTTACTTCGTTTTATATCTTTTATCACGAGTGCCACGTAAGCTGGTCCGATCTACTTAGCTCGAGTTGTTTGTTGTTCGAAGAAAGAAACGGTCGTTAGATTTCACGTATAAACAAAAATACGGTAACTGGTTTCTACTACTGGAAGCAGAAAGTCAATCAGCCGGCAACATAAGCTCATTTAAAAGTCCTTATCTTGATCGAGCTAATTACCGGGGGGGGGGGGGNGGGTTGGTTACTTTGGGCATTTCTGGGTGGGGATGTGCCGCTGGGACACTGGAACCCTTAGCCTATACCAGAGCTGGTTCAGCTGAATTTTGCTACCCTATACTAGAGTAAACTCCCCAATGCCCCCATCTATTGACACTGTTGAGACTGATTTGCGTAAAGTTAAACTTGCCAATTTGATTTTTTGATATTTTTGAGTGGCAATTCCTGGTTTCCTTAGTCTAGATAATATCTTCAACCAACCAGTCAATTTTGTGAAAAATTATACCCTATTCTAGACCCAAACGCTCTGATTTATATACCCTATCCTAGAGTAAACTGCTTGAAAACCATACCCTTCACAGCGGCACATACCTATATAGCCCATATATGGCAGTGCCCCCTCCCCTGGGTAATCAATAAGAATCAAATATATTAGTCACAAGATTTGGACCACTGATCAATTTGTAATTGCTTATTTATGTGAGGCTGAAGGATCAATGTTACTTTCCCCAGGAAACACAGTTAGGAAGAGACTCTTTATTGATTTTATTCTTGAAGTAAGTGGTCAGGAAGTGCAAGGTGCAGCAAAATACAGAAATTGCCCCAAGCTCTTAATGCACTGGAATTAAATTAACCTTTAAACCTTTAAATTATAGCACTCCAGTCAGTAATAATAATGTCAATCTGGTTAGCCTAAAAAGCACACCAGTTAGCCTGAGTAACACTGACTCGAGAATTGTGTGCATTAGATTCTTAAAAGATCATTCAGAAGATTGGCAGCAAGTTCTCTGATGGTGAAGTGGTCATTTGACTAACTCATGACCCTTGTTTCCCGGATTTAACTCTACCTATGGACTTATTAACATGATCAACTTTCGATTTCACTGTTTGAAAATAATCTATATACGTGTGACATGCATGTGACATTCAAAATTCCTGAAGACCCAGAGGCAGGTAGTGGGAGTGAGGTAAAACTGCCATGAAATGCCTGACTTTCTATTTCTTTCCTTATGTTTTGTCTTCCCCTTGCTCTGTGCTTTGGTTCAGAGATTGGGTACACAGCTGGCTAGAGGAAAAGGAAATATTATGTTGTTTTTCTGGTTTCACTCTTGCCTGTCCTCTTACTGCAGGTTTTAAGACAACAGGACAACAGGAACAATGATAGAAAAGTGCATTCTTGTGACTGGTGGTGCAGGGTATATTGGATCACACACTGTTGTGGAGCTCATCAATGCTGGATATGATGTTGTTATAATTGACAACTTTGTGAATGCATTTACTGGTCAGTCCTCGCTGTCTAATTTTTGTCATTTTTAAAATTCCAAAAGTAACAACATCCAAAGTAGTGATTTAATTTAACCATTGACACCAAAAAGTAACAATGCTGCAGAAATATAGATCGATGAAAGTATTAAATGGTAAAATATGAACTTTATAGTATGTGCACATACCACTACATTTTAAGCTCAAGTTTAAAGTTGCTGACTTAAATGACATCAAAAAAGAAATGCTGCCAGTTTTGGGTGTGTTTAAAACACAAAATGGCAAAACGACACTACAGTTAGCCTAAATAGTACCCTGGTTGGCCTAGATAGTGTTCAAGTTAACCAAATTATCACTGACTCAACAGTGGTGAGCTCTCAATAATAGTAAGGGTTTTACCTTACAGACACCTGTGTCCCACACTGACTCTTACTCATAGTGCCATTTCATGTTTTAAACATGCCCACCAGTTTTACTGAGTGGCCATTAGTTATTATTATTATATGGCTAGCTCCATGAGCGGGCAAGGTGAATCAAATCCTGCACTGTGATTGGCTACCCAAATGGACAAGATGGAGCTATCTTGCCCGCTTGGGACTACCCGCTTTGTCACGCAAGAAAAATTTCCCCAAAAGCCATATAATAAATCCTTTATTGACCAAGCTTGTTTGGTCAAGATGGCTGGATATTGGCCTTGTTCTTTTTTTGCGAGTTTATGGACCTTGACTCCGTCTCGGTCCATAAACACACCAAAAAAGAACTTGGCCAATATCCAGCCATCTTGACCCCACACTTGGTCAATAACCCATACATGTACGTGTTTGAAATATAATAGAGCTAGATTTTGCTAATCCTTGTATTTCCAGCAGCCTCAATATTCAGTTGAACAATTGAAAAAAAAAATTGAACTGATCTGTCGGGTACCACCGCAATATTGATTAATCTAGACTTGTTATCTTGAATAGAGAGCTTAAAGAGAGTGGAGGAGATTACTGGAAAAAAGCTTGTTTATTATTCTGTTGATTTATTGGACAGAGATGCCTTAAAGGATGTGTTCAGTAAAGTAAGCTACTTTATATAGTTAACCCTTTCATTACAGTGAGGACACTTAAACCATGAACACTTTTTTGTATGTGCTTTTTTGGGGATTTATAGAATGAAGACTTGTCATATAATGTTGAAGATTAGCATTTTGACAGTGTAAAAATGCTAAATTATCTTGTTGAATTACATGAAGAGCCCTCATTCCACAGTCACAAAAATTGTACAAAGAATGTCTTGAAAGTGTTTACAGCCAGAGTGTCCTCACTGTAAAATATATGACTATTGACATTAGTTTCACAATAAGTTGATGTTTAGACTTAAATGTATCTCAACAAAATATGAACCATGGCTTGACCAAACTGGCCTGAAATGTTGCTGAAGCGCACCAAAAAGGTGCTGTTGGGTGGTGCTGTGGTCTCATGGTTAGTGGGCTTGTCTCTGGATTGAGTGGTCCAGGTTTGAGCCCTGGTCAGTATCATTGTGTTGTGTTCTTGGGCGAGACATGTTAATCTCACAGTGCCTCTCTCTGCTCAGGTGTATAAATGGGTACGGGCAAACTTAATGCTGGGGGGTAACCCTGCGTTGGACTAGCATCCCATCCTGGTGGGAATAAATACTCCTAGTCACTTAATGCTACAGAAACCAGGATAAGCTCTGGCCTGATGGGCCACTTGGCTCGTATGCAGACTTTACCTGGGATTTTATGAAATTAATGCAGTGCCAGATAATTGCACATCAGTGGTTGTATTAGTTTTAGATTACTTTTATAAGTTTAAGCCCATTACACTGCAGCTACTTGGACTCAACAAGAGTTAGCCAGTTGGAGCAATTGAATGACAATCAGATCAAAAACTTTATGGTACATTGCAGATCATACTTTTGACCATCAATAGTGATAAAATTTTTGGGTTTCCTTTTTAGCACGAATTTTATGCAGTTGTTCACCTTGCTGCCCTAAAGGCAGTTGGGGAGTCTGTTGCAATGCCACTGCAGTATTACCACAACAATATTACAGGTTCCATTAATTTACTACAGGTAAGCAGGACAACAATTATTACAAAAATAGTTACCAGTAAGGCTGTTAATTGCTTTTCTTTGGGGCTGTCATTTCTTCCAGTCATATGCCACTTATATTTTTCTTAACATGAAAAGAGTGGACAAAATCAAAATAGGCCCTTTGCACGATCCGGTCACATGGTACAAAATCACACATGCTGGTGAGCAAGTTGTGCAGTGGGACTTCCAAAACAATGCCACTCGTACCAGTCCACCTGGACCTGCCTTTGTTTTGGAAGTCCCACTGCAGAACTTGCTCACCAGCATGTGTGATTTTGTACCATGTGACCAGATCCTGCAAAGGGCCTGTTGTCCCGCATACAGAGTTTTTAAAGTTTTTTACTGTAATTAGACAAGTACCATCTCATACCTGAAACACCAGAAAAAACTGGAAGTGGGGTGGGGGGTTGTCATTATCCTAATTTTGGAGGTAAAGCATTGCTTTGGTCAGGTTTTTATTGATATCTGCTTTATTGAGCTGTTCATGAAAAATAAAATGGAGGTCTCTAGATAACATGGTTGAGTAGGCCTACGTAATGGCATTTTCCTCAGTGATATCATTGTTTTACATAGATGTCACCTCGTGTAAAGTTCATCAGAATTACTGTCAGTAGCTGATTACATGTGAAGAGGAAAAGTGAAGGAATGAAAACATCCAGTTTTTTGCTAAAACAGAGAGAAGCAATAAAGGAACTGATTGACAAAAAGAAAAAGGGAGTTCACTGACTGTTTAATAGTAAGAGTAAACTGCTAAGGCCAAATTAAATTAATGTAGCCAGCTCTTATCATGCACTTGATTATTTTTTTTTTTGTAGGGCATGCACTTGATGGATAATGTGACATGATATAATTATTGTGACATGGGTTATATGTGCAACAAGGATACACCGAACCAAATAGTTTCAATTATGTCCTTGAGTCTTAAATGTTTATTTATCTTTACAGCAATGAGGTGCAGCACCAATTGGCTTAAAAGTCCTAAGTATCTAATATTTATAAATCTTCTCCTTACTTTGCAGTGCATGAAGGAACATGGTGTTTGGAATTTTGTCTTCTCTTCTTCAGCTACAGTTTATGGCTTGCCAAACTGCCTCCCTATTAGTGAGGATCACCCAGTGGGCAATGGTATAACAAACCCTTATGGAAGATCAAAGTTCTTTATTGAACAAATAGTACAAGATTTGTGCAAAGCAGAAAAGGTATAAATTATTTAATACCCACTTTAATAACAGCAGTGTGTTATCTGAAATAATTTCTTCATGATGATCCTTACCATATCATAGATACTTCAATGACAAGGTGTTTGAATAACATTTCTTGATGCTTTCTACTTGATTTGACTAATCAGTCTAAGTGGAGTTACAGAGTAACTTTATGGGAACAGTTTATGCATAAATGAAATTGTGCTATTTTCCAGATGCACATGTACTCATTCATGATAATGCAATTTTTAAAATGGAAGACTCGCCGAGTTCAGAGGTCTCTCTTTGTTTTGTGTTGTTTATTTTTCTTTCCAAGGCGAATTTCCAGATGCGATTTAAACACTACATGTATTAGTACTGTTCATTTCACTAGTTAATCATATATCAACTTTAAAGTCTTTTATTTTTGTAATGAGTGCCATTTAGCCTTATTGCGATTAGTATTCATCATACTTCTAAAATCAGAATATTTTTTCATGCTGTTCTCGTAACTCTGTCAACATTCAGGTGACACTTTTTGCTTCCCCCTTGTTAACAGAATATGAAGGTTGTGATGTTAAGATACTTTAATCCTGTTGGAGCTCACAAATCAGGCAGAATTGGTGAAGACCCTCAGGTAAAAAAAAAAAAGCTGCTTCATATTTATTAGGGTTTGGCAGGGGTTTCATTAAGGGCCAGGCACCAGGCAAATTGACCTGCTGTGAGCAACAATTTTGCATGGCTGGTTTGACCCTTCTGGCAGAAAGTTTATCTTACAAAGAAATTCAGTTCTAATAGTTTTGCCCATCTGTGAACACCAGTTCCCCTCCAGCTGTCTCCTGCTGAAAACGTCAATGAAACCCCTGTTTGGTGGTTTGAGAGTCGATTAACTCTAATCCACGATTGACTTGAGTTTTAATTATCCTTTCATAAAGTGTTTTTTGTTGTTTTAAATTTTTTTGTGGGGTTTGCGATAAGTAATCATCAAAACTGGTGGATAGAAAATTTTAACAGGTAATGGCACCTAAAAGTTATATAATTGAAATGAAAATTCACATCTATGCTGCACTATTTGAAAAACTGCCCAGGCCAGGTTGATTAGAACACAAATGAATGGGTCAGTCCACAAAGCTGTGAATTGTCTCACATCACAACATGTTGAACACTGGACTCACTCTACAAAAATAAGTTTCCTGCCTTGACCATCTTGTCTAGTCTGGTTGTAACTGTAAGAGGCCCAGGTGAGAATATCAAGTAAGACAAGAAATTTACTTTTGCAGATTATCTTTATTTAGGTTGGGCTATATGTTTTCTTTTCTTCCAGACCAGCTCAAAGAAAGCCATAATTATGTTGAGCTTGCTTGAATGTGTGCAAGCTATGGCTGATTTCTATAGTTTCATGTACATGGATCGCAAATCAACATATTTTTTGTAACCTACAGTACATTTAATAGTTTGTGTTTTAGTTTATGTACAGACTCTGATCATGTTTACTTTTGTGTAACTATTTTGTCTAAGGGTTGACTGTTTGGAATTTTAGGGTATTCCTAATAATTTAATGCCATATATACTTCAAGTAGCGGTGGGCAGAAGACCTCATCTGAATGTGTTTGGTGATGATTACAACACTTCTGATGGAACAGGTAATTACTTTCTGATGTACATTACTTCTTATCAGTTATTTGGATTACCTGATGTTAGTCTCATGTATTTATCTCTTTCACTTAAATTCAGAAACAAATTTAAAGTTCAGTGGAAACCTGACTTCTTGAACCTGCAATTTTTTGAACCTCATGACAACTCAGACAAAATGTTGTTTCCTTCCTCTCAGTCAAACATTGTAAATTTTATCATTAGTTCTCAAACTACCCAATTTTCAAACCATTCATCATTTTCCTTGGAGCTTAAACTGTATTCCACTGTATGACATTTACTTATTTATAAAACACTTTTTGTTCACTTAATTTATTAATTAATGAATTAATTTGGTAATCTTATTTTACCTCTCCACCTGACAGATACTGATGGAATTTAAACAGTTGAATTTAAACCTTATTTGAACAGAAGCTTAAGTTTTTATTAATAAATAATCCATTGCAAAATGGTTAAGAAATTTTTTACTCTGCAGGTGTGCGAGACTATATCCATGTGGTGGACTTAGCTGCCGGACATGTTGTCGCACTTAAAAAATTTGATGAAAATTGTGGTTGTCAGGTACATGTACAGAAGTGCCATATTTATTTACACCAGTCTGTTCTACACATTCAGAGCTCTAAATCACAATCATTATTCAATAACGATTCAGTCAAGCTTATGTCCTTATAGTTTTGTCATGAATTTTGATATCAAGTGAAAAAGATTTGTCATCATGATACAGTCATGTTGTGTTTTTTGTGTTTGTTGGATGTGCTGATTTTGGATGAAAATTCCTCAGGCAAAGATGTCAGTGTAACCTACCTACATTATACTGCCTATTATTTATTTCACGCATTATGATCTTTTGTTATGCAAATACAGTGTGTATGTCCAATTGTTTGTTTGCAAAAAATAATAATATACAGTTGTGTACTCTGTCCAGATCTACAACCTTGGTACAGGAAGAGGATATTCTGTACTTGAAATGGTAAAAGCTGTTGAAAAGGCATCAGGAAAACCAGTAAGTGTTTGAACTGTTTTGTTCTTGAAATGGGAGGCATATTTATTTGCACTCTCTGTAATAAAAAAATGGCACACGAGGTGATAGCTGAGCGTGTCACTGATGTTCTTACCACATTTTGATGTCTTCTGTCATTTATTGCTGAACAGATACATGATCGGGCATGGCAACGCAGAATATAATAAAGAAACAAAAACAAATGTTATTGACGTCATCTGTGCGTCTGTCCTCCAATTGAACATAAGTAAGAACCAATCAAATTTCAAGAATAATTTAACTTATTATATAATATACAAATTTTGCTACAAAACGTCCCGCCTTTGTAACTGAGCTTTCTGAAAGCTATGTGTATTTGATAATTTTGAAAAGAAGAGGGGAATGACTGGGCTGTTATTAATGCTGTTGGCAGATTTTGGCAATTTTGTTTTGTTGTGTGAAATAAACATAACCATCAATTCTGAAAACTTGAAATTTTTGATAGTTGAAATAGTCTTTCTTCTGTAACGTTACCCAAGTACTTAACTCATTTGGAAAATGAGTGAAGTTCCGATTAAAAACAAAGCCATTAGGTTGTGGTAGGAAAGAAAAGGGTATGGAGAGGGTGGTTATAATTTACGTCAGTGTTTATTCATGTTTTTAAGTTTCTAGTTTTAATTAGTCATGTGCAAATGACTACAACCACAAACCCAGTCAAATAATTTAGTTATTGTTATGTTCATGGTGTAGGTACCATACAAGATTGCTCCACGCCGTGAAGGTGATGTAGATGCAGTGTACTCTGATGCTTCCTTTGCTGAGAAAGAACTTGGCTGGAAAGCAACTCGAGGACTGGAGGAAATGTGTAAGTAGTGACTGTGATTCAGAGCTGGTACTTCAAGACTTGTCCTATTTCTTTAGTATTTTTATGTTATTATCTTGCCAACAAGTTTCAAGATAAAGAAAATTGCTTCCAGTGGCTTGATGTGCTTTGACTGGTAACAAACTCTTTATTTCAAATCCTTACTTAGGTGAAGATGCGTGGAGATGGCAGTTACAGAACCCTCAGGGATTCAATACAGAAAACAAATAAGCAAATTAACTTTAGTTATTAATATCAGAAGCACAGGGTTATGTTTCTGTTAATATTCATAGTGGGCATTATGGTAGAAGAGTTGAAATACCTCACCTCCTATGTCAGGTCCTTTTTAGGTGGCCAACAATATTTTCCAGCTCTTTCTGTCACTTATACTTTGATGAATCAATGCTACATTCTGAGGGGGTTCAGAGCCACCTTAAATGCTTGAAAATTTGAGGTGGCTCTGAATCCCCTTCTTAGAATTATGTTAAACTTCACAAAATGTTACATCTTATCAAGCTTACCAAAAATTTGATAATGATACATGGGGGTCACTGAGTTATGGAGTTATATAAGCACTTAAATGTGAAATTAAGGGTTCTTTTAATGAGTTGTACTGTTGCTGCTAGAATCTTTTATGCTAGAAAGATTACCATTATTAGTTCACCAATGTCTGGGCATTTATTTGATATCATTATTCTAGCATGACTGATAAACAGTTGCAGCACTGATCCATCAAAGTACATGCATAGCTGTTGGAAAAGTGTGGGGAACTGTTGCCAGCCACCTTAACATGGCTGACCAGGCCTCAAAGGAAAAGTTTTATAAGAAATCAGCTTATTAGCTCTGAAGAAATAATTTGTTTCAATTGAAGAACTTAAGGTTAGAACTCTAGATGTATTTTGACAAAACAAAGCTGAGAATTTCATATGAACTATTTTGAAAACAGCTCACCAATAAATTGTTGATTGCTGAAATTAAGTGTTTCCTTAACTAGAATTTGAAGGGAATAGTTTTGACAGAAAATGAATCTTACTGGTGGAGTAACACAATAATCCATTCATGTTGTAGTTAGTGGGGGAGGAATTTATTTTATGACTTTCAATATAGTAATATATCATTTGCAGTCAAGTCAAGAAAGGGTCTTTTCTTGGGGATACAATAGTTTGAGTATTGCACATGCAATGCGCAGATGTCACAATATTATTACACTTCCTGAATATGGTCAATAAAATTGAATAATTTGTATTTTGTCCTTATTGCAAGTTTAATTGCCATTCCAGTGGCTGAACTGTCAATTCAGATGATAAGCCAGTACCTGTAGTTGTTGCAGTCATTGTGTCCTCTCTGACCCTCAGTCACTTTACCTCAGTTGAAAGGAAAGATGCAGATTTTTGCCTGTTGTTTCACTCCACAAGAAATATTGTTGGCAGTGTGAAACAACAGGTGAGATCCACCTGAGTTGGTGCTTTTCCTCTGCTTTGAATAATTATATTTTCTACAGCTAGTTTACTTTCTCCTTAACATCAGCCCTTGCTTCTTCCACATGCTTTTTATCCTGGCACAACACACAAATTTATGCTTTTTTCATGATCCCAAAACAAAGTTCTTTTTAATTAGCCTGCAGGGGAGGTAGATAAATGGGTTGAAGACTTACTATAACCTGAGCAGGGCCACCTCTAATTTATTATATATTTGTAATTTAGTGGAGTGAATTTGTAATAAATAAATATAATTAACAAGGTGGCCTTGAGCTTGCCCAGGTCATAGTTCAGTCACTTGTTTTGTAGGTGACTAATCCCATAGTTCCACTGGACAACATTGCTGAAAAGAGTGGGACACACTAGCAGGGAGAATAGGGTGGAATGCTGATTTGACGGGTGTGACAGGAAGCCCCTGGTGGTCACTGTCTTATCAATGAGAGCAGAAAAAGATGGGAGGGAGGCTGAGGGGTGGATTGTGTGAGGAGAGGGGTTGGCACCTGAAAGCTAAGGGGAGGGGTGGATTAGGAGGTTGGCAATTTTCATGCCATTGAAAATAATCCATACAACTACTACAGCAATCACTATCCAGCTGTAGTTAGCACACTCTTTTATTCCAAGTCTATTATACTTAAACTCTAGGCAATTCAATGTTTTAAAGACCAAATTGACCAAACATCAAAATGACACTTGCTCACTGATATTTTTGTTGTAGACTTGGTCAGTTGAGCTACCTTCCTGCCTTGCTTTGGAATAGGCCATGTTCAACATATCAATAATTAATTTAAAATGGCTCTGAGGCTTTCAGGACAAACTTCTATATTTGGTGGTATTTTTTCTTTGTATCAAAGCCTCTTGGGCAATGAAAGACAAAGGAAACTTCACAAATTTGTAATTTTGTCCATGTTAGAGTATTGATATACATGGCCTATTCTTTGAGAGTTCACTATTCTTGATGGCCTTGAGTGGTGTGAAGTATACCTGCGGCTGTATAGATCTTTAAGAGCTTATGATTAGTTTGACAGAACAAGCTATTTCCATATAGGACAAGAAGAGAAACATTCATTCTGATTTCTCAGTCCTCGCAAAGGAAAATTGTTGGTCTTCAGGTTACTGAGATCATATTTTCTTGTTATTTATTATGATACAAAAATACTAAATGATAGAAACTTAAGAGTCGATCAGTTCACTTTAAACCTGACAGCAATTACTGTTTTCTTAATGTTCTGGCACTTGATTAAAAGAAACTATTTCAATAAAAAAAATTTCATTCAAGCCATTAAGTCTGTTCAGTGAATGATTTAGCTGATCGCACTCAAAAGCATGAGTAACACTAAGATTACACTAATACTCTTCCTGTTCATCATCATAACCAAACTCATCTACATCATTTCCAACTTCCTCTGGTGGAGCAAAACCCTCCTGCAAACACAACAATAGTGTCGATTTGTTTCGGGATTTACTACAGTATACAAGAACAAGGTCTGCTTAATGATTTAACACATACACGAGCAGTAGTCCTCCAAAACATCTACATTCACTGGTCCAGATCATTACAGAGTGATTTGGATTACAGGGGAGATTGATTTAGAGTGTTCTGGGAATGGAACTGTAATGAGATGTCGACTTTTCCATTTCCACTTGCTCATGAAAGAGTGGGCAACAAGGATAAATCTACGTAATTCTGGGGTTGTAGCAGCTTTGCTGAGAATGTCAAGTTCTGCACGACAGAGATGCACAGTGCACCAAGTAGAAAAATTTTAAAACCTGAAAAAACAATATTCCCTGACAAATGGGGCACTCTAGGCACTCTAGCCACCTGCTCTCCCCCTAAATTTGTAACTTATGATAACTTATGTCTGTTGTCCATTTTAGAGAGGGTCCGTATTATAGAAGTTTGTTTTAGAGGAACTGTATGAGAATTTTGTCGGTACATAGGAAACTGAATTAGAGAGGTGTTCGTATGGAGAGGTTCAACTGTATAATTTAGTTAAAACTCAAGCCACCTACACTCACCTCAGTTGCATAAAGAATTGCTTTGATCTTGTCAATAACACTGCCAGCAGGAGCATCCTCCTCTTCCTGGCACTGAACTTCAATGTCTCGTAATTTACCAAAGTAAAAATCTCTTTCCTTTTCTAATCCTTCCACTGTCAACTGCAGTGCAGTAAGCTATAAAACATAAAATCACGTAATAAAAATAATAGCCCCATACAGTTGTCAGTCAATATGACCCATCAACTAAACTTAAGTTCCTGGGAAGGGGGCACTCCCATATGAAAAGAACGGGGGTGCTCATCATACCTTTTACGGGTTAAAAAAGTGGTTTTGGTAGCTCTTAAGAGTGTCCAGCCTCAAAAGATCCATAGCAGGAGCTTTTGTGGTACATTTAAGGACATTGAGGTAAAAAATTTGACAGGATATAATGTATTGTTTTAGAATTGGTACCTCTTAGGAATGATAAAATGTCAAGCCATGCCCACAGGGCAGGATCTTAGTAACTCTAGAGGGTTCTTTTCAAAATTTCCAACGAGCACCCCTGTCCTCCAGAAGTTTGATCATTTGGGTGAGGCTAGTTCTGAAAAGAACTGTGACTGATGTTTCAACAAACTGAGTGGAAGTCATCTTCAGAGTAAACTGAAAAGTATTTGTCAGTCTGGTCCATTAAAGCTGATTGGCAAGTTAAACCATGTGTGGTATTGGCTGTAAGACCTGAGTGTGTAAAGTTTGTCCACAGTCATTGGTCAGTTCCTGTAAGTTTTGCTACATGTATTGTTAATCAAATAAGTCACGGTGACTCTGATTGAGGTTTGTCCATCAGTTTTAATAAGTCATTAGAACAAACACTCTTAGCAGATGTCAATAACTACCAGCACCTTACAAACGACTTATTCACAAAACAAAGCCAACCCATGGAAGTTCCACAGAACCACTTTATTTGACTGAAAATACAGACAGATGTTGACCAGCAAGACAAGAGTTTGACCAGTCGGATCCCTGTTCATGCCCCAAATTGTCCAATGACTGGCCTTGGTTTCCAGCCCTGCTATCAGTGCTGGCAGTCATCTTTGGTTTCTGTAGTAGGACCGGACTAGGAGTATTGCTACTCCCCACCCCTGATGAATGGGACACTACACCATCCTGGGTTACCCCTGGCCATTTGTAATGCTGGACAAACAATTTGCTGATACTAAATTGTAGTTTTATACTGCTGGGTTGAAAAAGGAAAAATATCATTGGCCAGGGATTGAATGTAACCACTTCTTCAAGCCTCTCACCATCAAGGTGTGCCCACATTCAGAATGCCTTTCTGGTTCTGAGAATTTGTAGGGCATCATGACCATTTACCCTTAATAAGTTGTAATTTTTCAAAAAATGACACTTCTCCAGTTTTCTATCTCATCAGTTTTCCATTTGTCCTATCTTTTGAATTTTAATATATCCATTTTAAGTTTCATGCATCTACTGAGGAGAACAATATATTTCTTACTGTTCAGCCTAAACATTTACCCATGGGAGGGGCGGTGGTTTCATGGTTAGTGCACCCGTTTTCAGATCTGTCAGTCTGAGCCCTGGCTGGGGACTTTTCATTGTGTTCTTAGACAAGACACTTACTCTCATGGTGCCTCTCTCCACTCGGGTGTATAAATGGATACAAGGGAACATAATGCTACAACCTTGGTCACAAGGGTTGGAAAAAAATCATTCTATACACATTTTGTCCCTCCCTACCCCTGAGCAATGTTGACAAAACACTTTCATCTAACACAAGTTTGCATTTTACCATTTTCCAACATTGAATGGGGGAATGGGGTTGTTGACACTCATTCTGTAGGTATTACGATTATGATTCCATGATTTTGGCATTTTCCAACACAATTTGTCCATGATTGTAGGTTAACCCTGTGATGGACTAGCATCCCATCATGGGGGAAGTAAAAACACACTCTTAGTCACTTCATGCTACAGAAACAGGGATAAGCTCTGACCAATGGGCCACTTGATTCGTATGCAGACTTAACTTTTTACCTCAACCTAAACATTTACCCTGGTTAATATTGTTCACTGACTTTCACTGAGTGTTGCCATATATATGAGAAATTAGATGGTCCTCAATAATTGAGAATGAAGGGTTTTAGAACATTTGAAAAACAAACAACTCAACAAACCTCATTAGTAAGTTCTTGTATTTGAGCCTCACTCTTTGCCAGAGCAGCAGAGGCCCCACCAGCTCCTCCCGTGGGACGAGAAGGCTGCTGAGCTGGTCTACCTGGCCCTGGTGCTCCACCTCTGCCACCAAGCCTGGTTGGACCACTTGCTGCAGGTTTGGATGCATATGTTCCTTTTGCAGGTGCAGGGTTTTTAGCTGTGCACAGAAGGAAATTTAAAGGAGCTCAGACACGGTTTGCACATTTTGAAAAGTTTAGCCTAAATTTTTCAAATTCATCGTTTGCAATCCATGTCAATCTTCACTATCCTTGACCATCCTTGTTCCTTTATGATTTATTATTATCTCTTTGATGTTTTTCTATCTCAGTAAACTATTATTTTCAGGCTTCCTTCCATTTAAAGGATATTTTGTATGTGGCCAAAAAAAAGACAAAACACCGTGACTGAGTTCCTTTAACCAAGTTGACTTTTTCATTCTAAAACTAAGTTAATAGATATGCCAAGGAGATAATAGACATTTATTTTACTGTCAGAAATATATCTATACAGTCGAACCTCCTGTAAGCGAACACCCAAAATGTCAAGCCTAGATGGTTCCTTAAAGGAGGTGGTCGCTTACAAGAGTTTAGACTATATTAGGTCAAAATTTTGCCTTGTTACAATATGGTAACTACAGAGATTTGCCCCATGCGCCAATGCCGAAGCAATATTCTATTCATGTGAAAAGTCAATTTTGAGAGAAAAATCTGATTCTTCCCAGAGAGAAATTTCCATTTCTTGCACTACCCAGAAGAAATGCGATAATGCTATGTACAACACCTTATTATCCAATTTCCACTCTATTATCTGTCAAGTGGTCACTTTTGGGAGGTTAAAAACAAAAGAAAATTTCAAACTTTTAGCTCTAAAAGTGGTCACAGTTGCTTACAAGAGGTGGTCACTTACAAGAGGTTCCAAATATAGTGATTTAAGGTTACTTCAAACCTTCACAGGTGTCCTCCAGAGAAAAATTCGTATGCGCGCTGTTTTGAAGGAAACCCCTACAAACTCTATATCAATAGAAAGGTTATAAAATGTAGAATTTGATAAAATTGTATTCTTTTTTGCTGACTGCTTTCTTCAGGGGGTGGAGGCCATTAGCGCCAAAACGACCGCCTGAAATTCAGGCGAATTAATCAGGTATCAAATGTGATTGTTGATGCAAAATAACTATGCAGTGTTAATCACAAAGCATCAATCTCCCAAAGAGTGTCAGCATTTTCTTTCATTTCTGTTGGTTATCTTTTAATAGATCTGTCAAGTTCCACTATCGAAAAATTCGTGTAACGTGTTGCGTTAGAGATCGCCACAAAAAAAGTATATGAAATAAAAGAATTTGCCGACACATTTTTGTTCCATATCTATCAGTGCATGTTCTGGCCAAATTTCATGGAAAACCGTCGATTCTACATACCCTATTCATTCTTTTAAAGAGGAGGGATTCTCTCGAAAAACGATTGCAAGTTTTCGCCGTCTAAAGATTTATAAACAGGTCACCCCTTCTCAGAGGGATATGTCAACTCAAAATGCCACCAGCCAATGAAATAACAGAACCCCTAGTGTTCAAAGTATGGAAAGTTGAGCTTCGCAGTAAAGCGATAATGTTTCAGTCACGTTTTAGGCGCATACGTTTTAGGCCGGTGGTCAACAATAAAGGGAAAAACGGAGAAAAACGATGTGTAACAAAGCAAAAAGAAACTGAGGAGCAATTGCAGAAGCATGATTACAAAAAGACACTCTTGACGGATATGAAATCTCAAATTGAAAGTATTTGATATAGGATCTCTGGATTAAGCCATTTGCCGCGAAAAGGTCGCTGAGAAATCCATGCCTTTTGGGGATTATGACACCTTGAAGGTTTATCAGCTTTTATTTAAAAAACTCTTTTTCGTAATAACTTGCACGTGTTTTAATATTTTATTTTCATTTGTTGGAAAATGTTACCTTGAATAATGAACTTTAATTTGGGTGGAAAAAAGAAAATTTGGAAAAAGTAGCCCCACGAATGTTTGAAGTAACCTTAACTGGGAAACTTTTGGTATTTTGGAAAACTGGTCACTGAGGAGAGGTGGTTAAAAACCGGAGATGTAAATGTATATATTATTTTTTAGTAAAAAGGTATTGAGTGAGTATATAAGGTATTTCAATTTCAATTACTCACCCATTGCTGGCATGGCTCTGGGTGGTCCTGAGCTTTTTCGTGGTAAAGCAATTTGTGGGGTGTCTGTTTTACCATGCCGTGCTTTCACAGGGTCATATTCAGGGTCAGGACCTGAATAGTTTGCATCAAAAAACCTTTTGAACCACTGAACGAACTCAAAGTTATCCTGAAATTTTCCTTTGACCAGCCTTTCAACTGGAATTTGCTGAAAAGTAAGGAAACAAATTATTACCTGTAAACAATGAAATAACATCAATTGTCATTGTTAGTAAATTATATTGATTTCCAGCAGTAACTGATCACTTTATTTTACTGACTGATTATTTGTTTAATGCTCTTTCTTAAAAAAAACAAGGTCTCTCTTTCAATTAAAACAGAGGATGTATTAAGGAGTAGTTGTGAAAGAAAACTTCATTACCCAAGTCTCTACCATTTTAACTTACAAAAGCCATGCATTAATAGAGATTCATTCCAATACAAAGTAAGATTTGAGGTAGACATTTATTCTTCTTAACCATAAAATGTTCTGTTTTGTTTTGTTTTGTTTTTTTTCATTTTTGCCATTTATAAATATATTTACAAAATATAAATCGATAAAATTGGGTCAAGAAGAGAATGATAAACAAAATGATACTTCATTTTGTATCTTCAATCTATAGTTGATCTTCTGTTAACCAATCTTTGCACAATTTTTGCTTTGTACAATCATATCCTCCAATCAAAAGAACTCTTACTAAGACAAACACTTCACAAAAGACTTAAAAAAAAAGAGTAAGCTTATTTTTCAGCTACTATTGATACAAAGGGAATTCAATTGTGAATAAAACGTCTTTGAAAACAATACTTGCAGCTTCATTTCGTTTTTTATTTCATGTGTAAGACGTTCTTTAATCCAATAAAAACTTTACAGGTCTTGAGTTCTTTGATGAAACAGACATCCAGAATCCGGTTTCAAAGTAACGTTACGTCATTTCAGAAAATATCACACGGCACCAATTATTTCGCTTTACTTCAACTTTGTTCATCCCGCTTAGCAGAACATACTTCAAATAGAATCAAGGGGATGCCATAGCTCTGAGGAGATAAACACCATATCGAAATCTATAATCAACATCAGTAACAAGAAAACATTTACCCTTACCTTATCTACACCAGCGGCTTTGAATGCCTTTTGCAATATCTTCCAGTTAGTGATGAATTCATGTTCTTGATTCGATGCAAACTTCACTTTGCTCAGGTTTACGCAGTCTAAGAAGAATCATCACAAATACGATTTTAGAAAGATCAAAATCGAAATTTAGTAAAATGAGTAATCCATATTTCATGATATTAACTTTCTATACGAATTCTCAACGAACATTTAATGATTTCAAGGTTCAAATTTTATACACAAGCTTACTAAACTTACCCATGAAAAGCATGTCCATAAACTGACAATAAGCAGCACCTATTAAACAAACACAAGCTATTCAGACGCTTAAGGCTGCGAGTATAAATGACCTCGTGAATTAAGAAGAGCTTGATCATTTTCGAACACAAGCTCTTTCAATCGAACGCTGAAAAGAAAAGTTCCGTACATGAAACCGCCTCAAATGTACACGATTACTAACCCGAACATAACTGTTCAATTTTGGTGTACTTTAGTTGTAGACTATCGTTGATCCACTGTAGCATATCATGTCGACTAAGGTTGTCTGTAGTACAACTGGTGCTATGCACGTTAACCGCCATTTTGGTTGAACCACGAAACTGGTTCGGCATGGGAGGACCGATAGCGCCCAGTGCCCCTCGTGGGATATTCGATGAAGAATACATGATGGGGACCATGAAGGGGCGACATCTAGTAGACGTCACGCAGTGCAGTCTCTTTGACGTCATTTACGTGTCTCATGACTGCNACTTTCATCTAACACAAGTTTGCATTTTACCATTTTCCAACATTGAATGGGGGAATGGGGTTGTTGACACTCATTCTGTAGGTATTACGATTATGATTCCATGATTTTGGCATTTTCCAACACAATTTGTCCATGATTGTAGGTTAACCCTGTGATGGACTAGCATCCCATCATGGGGGAAGTAAAAACACACTCTTAGTCACTTCATGCTACAGAAACAGGGATAAGCTCTGACCAATGGGCCACTTGATTCGTATGCAGACTTAACTTTTTACCTCAACCTAAACATTTACCCTGGTTAATATTGTTCACTGACTTTCACTGAGTGTTGCCATATATATGAGAAATTAGATGGTCCTCAATAATTGAGAATGAAGGGTTTTAGAACATTTGAAAAACAAACAACTCAACAAACCTCATTAGTAAGTTCTTGTATTTGAGCCTCACTCTTTGCCAGAGCAGCAGAGGCCCCACCAGCTCCTCCCGTGGGACGAGAAGGCTGCTGAGCTGGTCTACCTGGCCCTGGTGCTCCACCTCTGCCACCAAGCCTGGTTGGACCACTTGCTGCAGGTTTGGATGCATATGTTCCTTTTGCAGGTGCAGGGTTTTTAGCTGTGCACAGAAGGAAATTTAAAGGAGCTCAGACACGGTTTGCACATTTTGAAAAGTTTAGCCTAAATTTTTCAAATTCATCGTTTGCAATCCATGTCAATCTTCACTATCCTTGACCATCCTTGTTCCTTTATGATTTATTATTATCTCTTTGATGTTTTTCTATCTCAGTAAACTATTATTTTCAGGTTTCCTTCCATTTAAAGGATATTTTGTATGTGGCCAAAAAAAAGACAAAACACCGTGACTGAGTTCCTTTAACCAAGTTGACTTTTTCATTCTAAAACTAAGTTAATAGATATGCCAAGGAGATAATAGACATTTATTTTACTGTCAGAAATATATCTATACAGTCGAACCTCCTGTAAGCGAACACCCAAAATGTCAAGCCTAGATGGTTCCTTAAAGGAGGTGGTCGCTTACAAGAGTTTAGACTATATTAGGTCAAAATTTTGCCTTGTTACAATATGGTAACTACAGAGATTTGCCCCATGCGCCAATGCCGAAGCAATATTCTATTCATGTGAAAAGTCAATTTTGAGAGAAAAATCTGATTCTTCCCAGAGAGAAATTTCCATTTCTTGCACTACCCAGAAGAAATGCGATAATGCTATGTACAACACCTTATTATCCAATTTCCACTCTATTATCTGTCAAGTGGTCACTTTTGGGAGGTTAAAAACAAAAGAAAATTTCAAACTTTTAGCTCTAAAAGTGGTCACAGTTGCTTACAAGAGGTGGTCACTTACAAGAGGTTCCAAATATAGTGATTTAAGGTTACTTCAAACCTTCACAGGTGTCCTCCAGAGAAAAATTCGTATGCGCGCTGTTTTGAAGGAAACCCCTACAAACTCTATATCAATAGAAAGGTTATAAAATGTAGAATTTGATAAAATTGTATTCTTTTTTGCTGACTGCTTTCTTCAGGGGGTGGAGGCCATTAGCGCCAAAACGACCGCCTGAAATTCAGGCGAATTAATCAGGTATCAAATGTGATTGTTGATGCAAAATAACTATGCAGTGTTAATCACAAAGCATCAATCTCCCAAAGAGTGTCAGCATTTTCTTTCATTTCTGTTGGTTATCTTTTAATAGATCTGTCAAGTTCCACTATCGAAAAATTCGTGTAACGTGTTGCGTTAGAGATCGCCACAAAAAAAGTATATGAAATAAAAGAATTTGCCGACACATTTTTGTTCCATATCTATCAGTGCATGTTCTGGCCAAATTTCATGGAAAACCGTCGATTCTACATACCCTATTCATTCTTTTAAAGAGGAGGGATTCTCTCGAAAAACGATTGCAAGTTTTCGCCGTCTAAAGATTTATAAACAGGTCACCCCTTCTCAGAGGGATATGTCAACTCAAAATGCCACCAGCCAATGAAATAACAGAACCCCTAGTGTTCAAAGTATGGAAAGTTGAGCTTCGCAGTAAAGCGATAATGTTTCAGTCACGTTTTAGGCGCATACGTTTTAGGCCGGTGGTCAACAATAAAGGGAAAAACGGAGAAAAACGATGTGTAACAAAGCAAAAAGAAACTGAGGAGCAATTGCAGAAGCATGATTACAAAAAGACACTCTTGACGGATATGAAATCTCAAATTGAAAGTATTTGATATAGGATCTCTGGATTAAGCCATTTGCCGCGAAAAGGTTGCTGAGAAATCCATGCCTTTTGGGGATTATGACACCTTGAAGGTTTATCAGCTTTTATTTAAAAAACTCTTTTTCGTAATAACTTGCACGTGTTTCAATATTTTATTTTCATTTGTTGGAAAATGTTACCTTGAATAATGAACTTTAATTTGGGTGGAAAAAAGAAAATTTGGAAAAAGTAGCCCCACGAATGTTTGAAGTAACCTTAACTGGGAAACTTTTGGTATTTTGGAAAACTGGTCACTGAGGAGAGGTGGTTAAAAACCGGAGATGTAAATGTATATATTATTTTTTAGTAAAAAGGTATTGAGTGAGTATATAAGGTATTTCAATTTCAATTACTCACCCATTGCTGGCATGGCTCTGGGTGGTCCTGAGCTTTTTCGTGGTAAAGCAATTTGTGGGGTGTCTGTTTTACCATGCCGTGCTTTCACAGGGTCATATTCAGGGTCAGGACCTGAATAGTTTGCATCAAAAAACCTTTTGAACCACTGAACGAACTCAAAGTTATCCTGAAATTTTCCTTTGACCAGCCTTTCAACTGGAATTTGCTGAAAAGTAAGGAAACAAATTATTACCTGTAAACAATGAAATAACATCAATTGTCATTGTTAGTAAATTATATTGATTTCCAGCAGTAACTGATCACTTTATTTTACTGACTGATTATTTGTTTAATGCTCTTTCTTAAAAAAAACAAGGTCTCTCTTTCAATTAAAACAGAGGATGTATTAAGGAGTAGTTGTGAAAGAAAACTTCATTACCCAAGTCTCTACCATTTTAACTTACAAAAGCCATGCATTAATAGAGATTCATTCCAATACAAAGTAAGATTTGAGGTAGACATTTATTCTTCTTAGCCATAAAATGTTCTGTTTTGTTTTCTTTTGTTTTCTTTTTTTTCATTTTTGCCATTTATAAATATATTTACAAAATATAAATCGATAAAATTGGGTCAAGAAGAGAATGATAAACAAAATGATACTTCATTTTGTATCTTCAATCTATAGTTGATCTTCTGTTAACCAATCTTTGCACAATTTTTGCTTTGTACAATCATATCCTCCAATCAAAAGAACTCTTACTAAGACAAACACTTCACAAAAGACTTAAAAAAAAAGAGTAAGCTTATTTTTCAGCTACTATTGATACAAAGGGAATTCAATTGTGAATAAAACGTCTTTGAAAACAATACTTGCAGCTTCATTTCGTTTTTTATTTCATGTGTAAGACGTTCTTTAATCCAATAAAAACTTTACAGGTCTTGAGTTCTTTGATGAAACAGACATCCAGAATCCGGTTTCAAAGTAACGTTACGTCATTTCAGAAAATATCACACGGCACCAATTATTTCGCTTTACTTCAACTTTGTTCATCCCGCTTAGCAGAACATACTTCAAATAGAATCAAGGGGATGCCATAGCTCTGAGGAGATAAACACCATATCGAAATCTATAATCAACATCAGTAACAAGAAAACATTTACCCTTACCTTATCTACACCAGCGGCTTTGAATGCCTTTTGCAATATCTTCCAGTTAGTGATGAATTCATGTTCTTGATTCGATGCAAACTTCACTTTGCTCAGGTTTACGCAGTCTAAGAAGAATCATCACAAATACGATTTTAGAAAGATCAAAATCGAAATTTAGTAAAATGAGTAATCCATATTTCATGATATTAACTTTCTATACGAATTCTCAACGAACATTTAATGATTTCAAGGTTCAAATTTTATACACAAGCTTACTAAACTTACCCATGAAAAGCATGTCCATAAACTGACAATAAGCAGCACCTATTAAACAAACACAAGCTATTCAGACGCTTAAGGCTGCGAGTATAAATGACCTCGTGAATTAAGAAGAGCTTGATCATTTTCGAACACAAGCTCTTTCAATCGAACGCTGAAAAGAAAAGTTCCGTACATGAAACCGCCTCAAATGTACACGATTACTAACCCGAACATAACTGTTCAATTTTGGTGTACTTTAGTTGTAGACTATCGTTGATCCACTGTAGCATATCATGTCGACTAAGGTTGTCTGTAGTACAACTGGTGCTATGCACGTTAACCGCCATTTTGGTTGAACCACGAAACTGGTTCGGCATGGGAGGACCGATAGCGCCCAGTGCCCCTCGTGGGATATTCGATGAAGAATACATGATGGGGACCATGAAGGGGCGACATCTAGTAGACGTCACGCAGTGCAGTCTCTTTGACGTCATTTACGTGTCTCATGACTGCATCGTAATTTTTTTGAGGCCTTTTAAAAACGCGATTTTTTAAAAACATAAAGGAGACATGCAGTAGCACCTTTTACGTTTCTTTTTTGTGTTGCTATTTTGAGGTGTTCAGTTACCAACAGCTTTTGCAGCCAAGCACGGAACATTACATAAAAAAACATAAATAATAATAACCTTTATCTACCCCCGGCTGTCACGCTGCCTGGATTTTAGGAAGAGAAAATTATCTTTTCAAATTATGTGACAAGTTTTACATTGACAGGCGACACCTCCACCCCCCACCCCCGCTTGGGGGGCTCCTTTTTTAAAAGACTTTAAAATAATTAACAAATTGACGTCAGTTATTTATGCGTCTGTCCTCTTATTGATGATAAATTGCATCATAACATTGTCAAAGTAGCTGTGGAACCACGAGCCGCAGGCGAGTGGTTCCGCAGTAAACTTTGACAATGTTATGACGAAATTTATCAGCAATAAGAGGACAGACGCATAAAAAACTGGCGTCAATTATTTGTTTTTTTACAATAACAAGACCCCAAAATGGTCAAATGCCGAGAATAAATGAGGGGAAAAGATGTTGTAAACTTGCCGTTAACAAAGATAAGTGAATTTTATTCAAAATGACGTGAACATTGTCAATAGCTTTTCTCGCTTTTTGATTGGCTACTTAAAAAAGCCCATAAAATCTCATTGGTTGAAAAGTTGACAGTCTGACAGCTGAAAGTTGAACTTGAAAGCTTGCATAAATTAAAACTTCATCCATCCGTACTCTTATTGACGATAAAAATGAGCCAATCAGCGCGCGAGAAATTAGACAGTTATTGTAAAATGAGTAATTGAAGCTTACAACAACCTGTCTGGGAAAATTTGAGTCAAATACATTAACTTTATTCCAACATGGGCTACTTTCCAGTTTCTAGATTTCATACTCCTGATATTATCAGATATGTCCAGGGTTGAACGCTAATGAGATTCAAATTCCTTATGATATGCATCACAAAGTGTCCTCATTGATAAAAAGTCACCAAAACACACACAATTCTGTCAAATATGAAGTAATATGAAAATGTCAAATAACCCTGCTAAAAATGAAGTACTAATTAAACAATACTTGCGTTCAATCCTGGACATAAGTGGATATTATGCACATTGCACATTCACTACTGCAGGACCAACAAACTCATTCAAAAGCAACAAACTCAGTTTAGATGGTAAAATGGTTAAAGGGAGTAAGAACCTCTCATTCTATCGATAATGATAATGAGTAGCTCAGCCAATCAGATTGTGCACTATGGGCCATTTAATTGTGTACAATGGCCGGAGGTCATCCACATAATGGCAACCTTTTAGGGATTCCCTGACGTTTTCATGAACAAATATTGCAAGATAATTCAATTTCCAAAAACCTGAAAACTTTTCCAAAAATCGCTGAACGTATGTGCGCAACTGCAAGGTTCAAAGGTCAATTCAGTTTGCACGATTTTGCTAAAGCGAAACAATTTTAATAATACTACGTCGAGAAATCATTGGAAGTCTTCTTGAATGAAATTTAGATAGAATTGTACAATAAAATTATTTTCGCTCTAGATTTCTGAGGTAATAGTTGATGGAATGTTATCTCAGAGTTCATAATCTGATCGCTAATTTATAGCGCTCTCCCAAGGAACCATACAAATTACAAAAAAACACGAGAAGAAACTTACTTAAGATAACTACAGTTGGACCCGCTAATTCGAATTACTTAGAACTATTTCCTTTGGATTTGCCCTTTAGTCATTTACTGTCGGCTTCTTCGAACTCCCGCTATTTAGTTTTTTTTTAATCGTTTTCCCCGTGAGGCCGAAGTTGCGGGGTTCAACTGTACCTACACACTACACTTACAATACACTACAGCAAGTATAATAGACCAAATATAGGTAATCAAATGATTTCAGAGTGCAATCTGGAATAAATAAACGCAAGTAAATTTTTCAGCCTAAAACAGTTTTTGCACGAGCCCGTAGCTATAGGGCGAGTGCAATTTGTTGTCTTCAAAAATTTACGAGTGCTCATGTATTCCATATTACACGTGAAAAATCATTTTATTACCAGTTAATAATAAACATGCAATTCATTTTCCACTTTTTGCACTCAATTCCAACTTTCTGCTCCGTTTGGGATTAATTGACGAGCTCTCAGTCAATTAGCATGCTAGAATTTTGCATGGCATCGGGCCGTATCGACTGCTTTACTCTGCTACTCTTCGTCAGGCCACTGTACCTTCCCCACCGCCAGCCCCCTTCGTCGAAGGTCTGGGGAAAATTGAATAGAAGGCTTTAACAAGAGAGAAGGAGGGGTAAGAGAGTGAACACCCATAGGCCTTGCTCTCAAAGTAATCCCTCCATCCCGTGGATTTTATTCATGAGGTCAGCCCAACCAGCTTTACACGCGTAAGGGGAATTAACTCTCTCTTTCTTTATCCTCTCTTCACGTGGAAACGGCCTTGTGTAGGAACTATATAACGTGCGAACCCAAGTAACCCAGCATTAAACTGAAGAAAAACAAGAGTTCAAAAGAAATACTAGTTGTTTTACTCAATATTCTACGTTATAATTTACTATATTTACTTCTCCCCTATTCGCAAGAGAAACAAGTCTAGCTCTACCGCTGTTAGTTCAGAGGACGATGCAGTATAAACCTAACAAAGTGAGTAATGCATTGTAGAAATATGAAAGAAGGTACGGGCAGCTCTTGCACGGGATAATGACTAACCTACACGTACGTAACTGTAAAGCGAAAGAAGGAATTGGATAAAAAGTGTCGCTACAAATACTTTTATCTGTTGACAATGAGGTTTGGTCGGAAGAGAAGCTCTTCATCGCAGTCATCATTTGGATGTAACGCAACACCACTGCCAGCGTGACAATCCAAATTACAACTGTGGAGGCTGTGAGTGCGATCATGTAACACGAGAGTGTATCGATTGTATAAAAGATCAGAATGTCTTCAAGCGAAAATAAGATCCGGGTGATTCCACTCGGCATTCAACATCTCGTTCTCAGGCTCTCTCGTATTCCCTCCCCGCAGCAAAGGGAAGGGAAGAAATAAAGACCCTGGGAATGAGTTGGAAACGTAAGTCACTGAGGTTCTAATGGGAGTCTATGTAATCCTGAATGAAATAAAGCTTCCTACAAGACAATAATAATAATTCCTGCTGAAAATAACAAATTAACCCCCTCAAGGCTTGTTTAAGAAAGTTCACACCTTAGTATATAGTAAATTCAAGTTAATGGTAGGTATCACGCTGAAAACAACAACAGATGACAAAAACAGACAACAACAGATACCAACAACAGATATTCATCTGTAAACAAATACAGCTTAGGCAAGATGAAAAATTGCCCCATGTTAATGCAAAATTACATCAAAGATCAAAGGTGGTCTTCTTAGCTTATCAAACCGGCAACTATCAGAATCGAGAAACCGATCACCTTAAGGTGGCAAAGGTTTTGAACCTTCTCCTGATAAGAATTACAAAGCAGCGAAATGAATTTCAAAGATAAGTTTTATACTGAGAATTAGAAGCTCTTCAAAAGTGAAAAAGCTCGTTTAATTGTCAGGGAAGACAGCGCGGTTCTGTCAGGGGAACAAACGCCGTTTTTAGAGGTAAATCGTAGAGTTTCCGAATTTTGTTACCCAATGAAAGAAAGGCACGAGTACCCGAGAGACCTCCGACAGTTGTCAAGGCGCCATAGCTCAATCACTTCCTTGCAAACTTCCAAACGAAAACTGCGCGCACACTCCAGTATTGGCCGCTAAGTGTACTTGTACAAATGACGCCTGTCGGTACTTGCTGCCCTCCCCCCTCACTAAGCTGTTCATGGGATGACTGTTTATCGGTAGAATGCGTCGAGCTTACACCACGACACTCGAACGAAAAACAGAAAGAAATAACGGTTAAACCTACACTAATAATTTCATAATTCGCAATATACGGGAATTTAAAAATAAAAATTTCCATATTGATATATTTACAGCATTTGTGATAATTTACGCTTGCACAAGTATTCATTGCATGTAAGTTTCAATACAAAAAATGCATTTAAATTATTTCTGTCCGTGCTTTTACTGTACGATACAAAGTCTCCTGACATCGTTTTCATATTCCTCGTCGTCACTCGCCGAGTCTGGGGTTTGACCAGTGAAATTGGGAAGAAATGATCGTTCATCCAGCCCGTCTTGCTCATAAAACAACATGTACGGCGAATCTTTTTGAAGCTTGGTGCTGTCACATTCCTGAAAAAAGACAAGGCAACTGAACATTGGTCAGAGAGACAACAGTTAGGCTCGATCACAAGCCACGGTCCGGAAAAAGAGCCCGTCCGCCTCGTGAGACCGCTGGAAATCGAACCTAGCAAACAGTCACATGCATCATTTACAGTGACGTGGTCACATCAGAGTCTGGCTCTACGGTGGTTTTACCTGACTGTAAAACGTTGGAAAACCATGCTCTATCGTTTGGCGTTCGTATAAAAAACATCATCCTACTGGTAGTAGTAGCATGAGAACTGAGGACTCTAGAAAGCAGTCACTTGCAGGTTATTTCCCTAGTAATCACAGATGCCCATCATGTTTTATGACACTATTTTAACAGCATATCTTAAAAGGAGGGCCGTGACCACTAACCTTGCAGCTGCTGTCATTGTAACAATACCATCTGTTGTTTGGATTGTGAGCGTATGAGATGTAGTGTCCTCCACCCAACACTCCTGTGTGACACTGAAGGTATTGAAAGAATCAACAGTTAGATTGTAATTACTGATACATACGTGCATACTTTATTTGATGAGTAAGTCAAACTATGGTAACTTATAAGAATGGTGTGGACCTACTACAGCAAACGCCTGACTAACAATCAAGAAATAACAATAATAAGAGCAACAATAAATATGACAAAAAAATTATTAATAACATATAATGTCGTTCTAGGTCTTTTTTAAAGACCAATCAATCACTCCTCCTGTTGTCTTTCTGAGTATCAGGCAGACTTTATGTCTATCCTTTATGACTCGCCATTGCAGTAATAAACGATGAACAAAAAAACTGACAATCACTTTCCCCAGCCATTAATTTGTTACATGACAAAAACTCAACTTTCATAGAACACTAATTGAAAAGTAAGTTTTACCCAGGATCTAAATTACCAAGGAAAACGCGCGTGTTAATGAGGTCCGCTGAGCATACTAGATGGCGCTAGCTGTACAACGTACCGACATAGCGTAAATTCTGTAGGTCGGTGTTTCAGTCTGCGATCCTTCACTCCTTGCAGCCGCAAGAGCTCCTCCGACACTCCCACTATGACCTCTCCGCTCATCTGCAGAATCCGAGCCCGTGATATCAGCAGCAGTGACACTTTCTACAGGAGAACCAGCAGACTTAATTTCCGGTGTCACTTCCGGGTGAACCTTGGCCGAGTTAAGGCTTAAACAAGAAGACTGGCGCGAGGGAGGTTTGCTAGTGTGGTTGAGTTCAACCTGACTTGAACTTAGTTCCCCGGCCGAACTCTGAGAGGAGGACTCCTGAAAAGGAAACAATTCATTACGAAAGGTAAATGTACATTTTAGCAACAGCAAATCTCTTCACCAGGGTTCACACTAGAGTAGAAATGCCGCGCCTGCTTAAGATGAATATATGTCACATGATCAAGCCTATTCCCAGTACCTCTCTTTCTCATGGTCACGGGCAAGGAGTAGCGGCGGCTCTGACAGCTGAGCCACATAAGTTTTTTTCTTTTGAAAGCGTAGTACTGTACATTAGCAAACGATAATGGTAGAAAGAACTGTTACAGACATGTTCAGCAGGAGTCAAACAACTATGTTTACCAGATATAAGTTCATAGTGACTCCGCCGACCGGGTGAAGGACGAGAATGTATACGGCTGCAACAATTTTACTAAATTGTTTAAAGCTTCACAACAACCCCTACAAACACTAGACGTAATCAGGTTAAATTACAGTGAAACATTAGGGACAAAGCTGTTTACTTTGACGTAAATTCTCTTCTAATATTTTGCTGCAGTTACAAAGGATTACCTCACTCCCCTGGCGGGGCGTTGGTTGTCTGTTCTCTCCAGTCTCCTCCTCGATATCTTCTTGTTCCTCGCTACTCTTTACGTTCACTGTGGTGACTCCAGTCCAGTCACTTGAGCTAGTTGTTGATGAGGATCGCTTGGCCAAGAATGCTGAAGGATCAAACCCTTCCATAGGAAACTGCACAATTTTATTAGATTTAACCCAGTGACCGTTAACAAACTGAAACCGTTTCAAATGGATGACCTGCAAAAGGAGACAAGCAAGGCTTACAATACTTCTCCTTACACATTGTCAAACATTTCTTCTGATGTTAGTCCGAAGAATATGGTAGTAAATCAAGAAATTGAAATGTCAAACTTTAAAACGAAGACTAAGGATAATTTACAAGGGAAAGATGGCGTAATGACGAAAGAGGTAAAAGTCAAAGCTACCACTAAAACAAGCTTTCATTGCAAATTATGACCACTAAGTTATGGAGTTACACTTACGAGAATAGGAGGCAAGCTCCAGATATCCAGCTTCTTTACTGCCAATCTGTGTTTCTTGCATTTGTTGCAATACCTGACAAGTGAAAGAAATGAATATTTAAGTTCTTTAGGCCTTAAACAATGATATGGATCTTTAACTCGATCACTATCACTTTCAACCATCTGCTTCAAACAAAGACCCATTCAGTTATTTTTTTTCTTCTTTAGTTATCACACCACCATACGCTTCAAATCATTGTTTGCCATCAAAACTTTGCGTTATGTTCACGTAAGAAACAGCTGTTATTTTCTCAAGCTGGAGGTACGCACCATAATTCATCTTCTCCAAGTTCCTCCTCCTTTGTAAATGCTCTAAAACATTCATACAAGTCAATGGGCTCTGTTTGCTGTTTTCTGCTTCTCTCCACACTCTCATGCTCAGTTGATATTTTCTCCTGCGAACTTTGATATCTCAGATGCAGTGTGGTGGGATCCCACTCAATAGCGATGTATGAACTGCTGTTGCTGCCAAATTCTTGTTCACTGCATTTTATCACACAACCATGACAGAACCTATTGAGAAAATTATGATCAGCACAACAACAACACCGCAATGATTTTGTAGAGTTATCCCTGACACAACAGTTGTGAATGGCAATTAAGATTCCTAACACAGCATTTCTAGCGGTTGTTGCTTATTTAGATGTCTTTCCATTGCAGAATATGTGCTGACACAGGCGTCCAGTGCCGGGCACGTGAGTGCGTTTGAAGGTTTTGAGAATATGATGAACTTCCACAGGTTCAAAAAAAGGAAAATACTCTATCACACTTTATTCAAAACTGAACAAAAACCTGAGACACACCACGAAGAGCGTCCATAACGTTATTCTACAAGCAGCATTTCTTCCTTACACAAAATGCTTCAGTTGGGAGTGATTCAGAAAATTTTACGTCAAGTCAAAGAAGAATTTCTTCAAAAACCGATGGTAACCGTTATACCAACTGCCTTAAAAGCAGCAATCGTGAGCAAAAACGTAAGCACAACAAAACGGAACTACTTTAAGGTTAAATTCTTTACCTGTACCACGGACACCACGCGCACGTAAGACCATCCTTCTGAACCGCCCGCAGTTCAAAAGGAAAATCACCAGCATCCCTAACAAGAAAAGGATTTTTTAGGTTAATTCAGACAGTATTCTCTCGCCACAAAATGGATTGTAAAGAAGTAATCCCTGAAGTGGCATTTGCATTTACAATATACGTAAATCGCTTTATGATACTGTCTGGGCCAAAAAAGAGTGACGGTGACCACTTCTGACTACTCCAAAAGTAAACATAGCACCACAAGGTTGACTTAATCTATAAACGCATTCTCATTCATACTTAGTCTCCCTACCAAGTCAGTACTGACCGTAGTGCACGCAAAAAGGATATAAAACAATTCAAGAATTCTCAGCAGTTAACTTAATAACGATAAACGAAATGTGAAACATTTTCTTGCACATTGCTATAAACAATGGACTAAAGGAACCATTGAGCTGTGTTTACAGTAATCAAACAGATGAAACAAACCGACACTGAAACAAATCCCTAACAAGAAAGATCAATAAGAAGAAGTACGCTGGAATGTTAACTTTTTATCAAAGTCTGCCATATCTTTCAGAAAGCAACTTACCCATCTTTACAATTTGTATCCCCTGGTGCTGGTGGGCTGAGCAGCCTGGCCACTTGTGTCCAGACTCCTTCATACAGTTCACATTGTCTGGTTTTGGAGGAGCATGGTACAATTATAGGAATTCCAAATAAACCAGGGCGGTTCTTTTGAGGTGACAGGAAATACGCGTCTAAACGAATCTGCAAAAGAAAAGAAGCTTTAAACTTTCATTTCCAAAAGCAAATATGTTACTGGCGGGCTCTTGTGTTGTTGACCTTCTTTTCTGTCGCGTTGTAAACCTAGACGCACCGGCTTTATGCTAAAACAACCCTTGTAAGTACATATTACCGTGACATTTGGCTGACAGAAACAGCAAGTCAATCATTTGACTATCATTATTTCAGGTGAATATACCAGCTTGCAGGAAACGTTCATCTTACTACATGCAGTAATTACTTTAATTAAACAGCTCACAAATGAACTTACTGTTTTCCTGTGCATTGCAACAACGAATCCACTGAAACAACAACCCAAATATGGTGAGGGACCAGCTGTCGGAGTTGAACACAGACTAGAATTCCTGGAACTCACATCCACATTTCCAGGCACAGACAGAGTTTTATGGTTTGGAGAATTTTCCACACTTAAACTGATTCCAGAATCAGAATTTGAAACAAAATGACCTTCAGTTAATTCAATTGATGAGGATGATGAAGAGGACTTCCGGCTCAAAGTTGCAGTTAAACTAAATCCCCCTACACCGAATTTGGGGCTTATTCTTCTCCGTAGTTTTGGGCTCAATCTCTTAATTGGACTTGAAGAACCTTTCTTTTTGTTCTTTTTTCCTTCTGCAAACCAGTCATCTTGTACTCGTAGCCGTGTTTCATTGTCTTCTGAGCTGTTTTCAGAATTTGTTCCTGAAGATTTGCTGCCCTTTCTCTCCGTATCATCACTGTTTGACTCCTCATTGCACACAGCTGCAGCTGTTTGACAGTTAGTGTTTTGGTTTGCAGCACAACATTGTTGATCAGACTCTGAAGAATTACAGACAGCCTTTTCCTCCTCAACTGTGCTTGGAGCTGTTGAGGAGTTGCACTCATCCTCACAAGTTATCGTTGGTAGAGGGATTTCGTAAGCATAAAGCAGCCCAGCTAGAGCAGAACGAATCTTCTGCATATCAGATGGTAGACTCTATGGAGCAGGACACATGCGTGGTTAACAAGTACATATAGCCATATTCAAAGTTACATAAACTACAATGTCTCTGTCAGCTGCAGCTGATCATAATGGAAATAGACTTTTAACATCATGCTGCAATGCCTGCTTCTCTTTGAAACACACCTTGCAGGCAACTTTCCAAATGATGTATACAAAAGCAAATGCAGGCTAAAGTTATCAAAGACAAGATACCTTAACAGAGGCTCCAAATATCTCGACCAAGAGAAGCTGTGAGCAAACCAGCCCACAATACTTGGACAGTTCTCTCTTCACATCTTTGTACCGGTCATCATTATTTAGCAGCAAACCATACTTTGTGGGGGTTGAGCCCTCTAGGTGAACAACTAAACACAAGACAGGAAGACAACTGCAGATAACAATAGGCTCAGTGCGAATTTAAAATAAATTTACTGAAATAAAGGGAATTTCTACTGTGAGCTTGGGAAGAGACACAGAGGGCTATGGCCTAAAGAATGATTGAGCCTTGTTAGGCTTACACTCTCACAGTACCTCTTTCTAATAATGAGCCAACAAAATAATGACAGATAACCAGCAATGGACTACTAGTCAACTAATGCTATAGAAACCAGAATAAGCTCTGACAGTATTGCCACTGACTGCTCCAAGTGAGACTATTCAATTTTGAGGTAAGGGGAAGTTACATCTGCATTCAAGCCAAATGACTTTTCAGGCCAGTACTTATCTTTGCTTTCACCATCATAAACAATGACCCAAGTCAACATTTGAACCTGGAAGTCTTGACCAAGAGCATAGCACAGCATGCTACTTCATGCTGTAGTCCTGCATCCATAAAATAATACATGAAGCTAGAATAAAGGTTCAAGAGTTTCCACAAGCTTACCAATAACTTCCACATACACCGAATTGTCCATAGGTAGAGGTAAGGAGAGGAATGTGAATGGATCAAAGCGGACACTGACATAACCACACTCCAAGCACCTGACTTGAGACTTCAGCTGGAATAAAACAAACAAACAATCTGACAGATCGTAAGACACAGAGATCAAAACAATATGCAACACGACAAAATGTGGTACATAACAAAACAAATATCTAGCCTATGGTGACTAAAATAATTAAGAAAGAATTTTACCTGGCCTTGAAACAAATCCACAACAACTGACCGATTCCTCTTCAAATGGTTATCCCAGGCCTACAGAAAAACAAAATGTCAAAAACTTGCAGTGATCCAAATTAACAAAGGTATGTGTAACAGGCACTTGACAGTAGGATGGAGCCTTGTTATTAAACAGTGTTGAGGTACAAAATTCTCCATGCTGGATACCACAATCACAGCAGTTTTATGCAGAAAGTCCATTCCACACATACACCATGCTTTGGAGAAACAACAGACATGTTACAATCAACTAATTTGCCCAGTATATCATAAAATACTATACACGTTTGCCAGAAGATACTAATTCATGTGAATGTACCTCATGTGCTACTTCCTCATCTGGTCTACCATCACTGTCCTTGAGTTCCACATAAGGCTTGAGATGAACTCTACAATCACATGACACAAATCAGAATTCTACAGTCACATGACTAACCCCAGACAATATGATACATATCAGGAAGGTACCATCACAATGCCCCAGTTACTGAGGTCAAGTTCCTTTTTCCAAAACCCTCATTGAACTGATCTTCACGAGGTTAACTTCATATGGCACAGTTAAACCCACCTGTTTAAGTCCTCATGTAAACCGTCCAAGAGAAATGACAAGAATTCCTTCAAAAAGAAAAGCAACAGATGAACATTAGCATGAAGAATAAAACAGCCTCTTTTTTACCCCTTGAGTCCTATGGATATAAGCAACATACACTTTATTTACACCCAAAACACCACTCTGCTGACCTGAGAGTCATGTTGCTGAAATCCATTAAATCTTGGTGCATATCTTCCTATTGTCCACTGAAAGGTAAATTTAGAGAAGGTGATAAGTAATCTAATTTCAGTCTATAGGCAAATCTTTGCTGACGTCATTGTTTACATTTTTCCTCATTAACATACAACTTTGTGCATAGAAGGCATCATGCTAGATTTTACTAGAAAAACTTTAAGAGTTTGTGAAACTTAGTAAGT